CACACAGAGGTCCAGATATAGGGAAACACTACTTAAACAGGACAGCCTGGACACAAATACAGTTAAAAGTCATCAGATAACAGCCAGGAGACCAGAATTGAGCCTGCAGTCCTAACTGCATATTCAACAGTATTGTACAAGGTTAACAAGGTGTTCAAATTATACCGGCATGACATGTACTCATTCTTACCTTCTAACATACACATTGTTCTCTTCTATTCTTTATATCTGCGTTTCCCCCCTCATGCCCTACTACGTAAGCACACATCGTTATGGTCCGAGTATTGATCGACTATCTGCCCCATAGGGGAAGGTTTAAGTTGGGTAAACATATTTGTATATGCATCTCTCTACTTTGACGTTTAGCTGAAATGAGCGCTTCATGTTGTCTACATATTATATCACCGGTTGTGATGACACGGGGTCCTTGCTATACTATTTCATTGTGATGACGCTATAAAAATGTCAGTCAGTTGCACATCACCCGTAAAGACCGTCTTCATATGACACAAGCCGTTCCGAGAACATACGACTCCTACAACAAACCAAGTGGAAATAAATCTCAGTGTAGGTATTGGCCCCGCGTGATCACTATAGTCAAGCCATTTGATAAATAAGAACTGTTATTCAACGAAAAAGGAATTTTAGCTATTTTGAAAAAACGTCGAATCGAATATACTCACCCGACGCGTGGCAATCCGGCATTGAACTGACGCTCATTGATTTATTTGATATTGTCTATTACCCTTTGTATTATAGGGATGTCACGGTTAAAACATTAACTTTGTTATTGATAGTATGTATCTTATATACGTCCAGTTAGTTTCTATGCTATCCCGCTATTCACAGTCGATTTCCAATGTTCAGCTTGACCACTTCTTTGGCTCGGGAAGCCCTTCTCAAATTTAGCGCCGATAACATCAGATTTACAAAATAAATAACATTAATCGTCAACAGATTCAGGGGGGAAGCCATTTATGTTTACAGGCGAAGGTGGTTTTTCTTCATTATTCATAAAAGTGAAATACTTGTTATAGACATGAATATGCATTCAAAACACATTTTACAAATCGTGGACTGTGATGTCGCTTTTGATAAATCAAAATTGTTATATTTTATGCCTGATTTCAAGTGTTGTTCTTATAAACCAGTTGTACTTCTATTGATGCCACACTCCGTTGTGTTGTAGCCTAGCATTTTGATTGAAATTTAATTTGTGTTGTACCACTTACTGCTTTGTTATTCATTATACGATAAGAGTTAAAATAAAAAGCTAAAAAAAACAAACCGGTCCAGGGTTTTTTTTGCCCTCCAGAGAACACTCCACATAGCGATAGACGCCGGAAAAGGCCAATACATCGGCGACCACGTCATGTTTACTGGGGGATTTTGCAGCCAAGAAACCTGTGATTTATCACCCACTTTTTATAAAATTTTGTTAAAAGTGTCTCCTCGTCATGATGATAGTTGGAATGCCAAGAGCATCTTCCTGTCACACAGAGAGGATGTAACATCCGGAGTGGACAAGTGTCTGATAGAGCTGGTAAAATCACATAACCTACCACTCGACAACCCTTCCTTTAACTCGGAACAGTCCATACCATCGGGCTGATCCTGATGTAGAGATTCCAGCGGTGTGGTCTCTGCTTCATTGATCCAAATTAAACTAGGAACAGTCCAGACCATCGGGCTGATCCTGATGTAGAGATTCCAGCGGTGTGGTCTCTGCTTCATTGATCCCAACCAAACTAGGAACAGTCTGGACTATCGAGCTGATCCTGATGTAGAGATTCCAGCGGTGTGGTCTCTGCTTCATTGATCCCAACCAAACTAGGAACAGTCTGGACTATCGAGCTGATCCTGATGTAGAGATTCCAGCGGTGTGGTCTCTGCTTCATTGATCCCAACCAAACTAGGAACAGTCTGGACTATCGAGCTGATCCTGATGTAGAGATTCCAGCGGTGTGGTCTCTGCTTCATTGATCCCAACCATACTCGAAACAGTCCAGACCATCGCGCTGATCCTGATGTAGAGATTCCAGCGGTGTGGTCTCTGCTTCATTGATCCAAATTAAACTAGGAACAGTCCAGACCATCGGGCTGATCCTGATGTAGAGATTCCAGCGGTGTGGTCTCTGCTTCATTGATCCCAACCAAACTAGGAACAGTCTGGACTATCGAGCTGATCCTGATGTAGAGATTCCAGCGGTGTGGTCTCTGCTTCATTGATCCCAACCAAACTAGGAACAGTCTGGACTATCGAGCTGATCCTGATGTAGAGATTCCAGCGGTGTGGTCTCTGCTTCATTGATCCCAACCAAACTAGGAACAGTCTGGACTATCGAGCTGATCCTGATGTAGAGATTCCAGCGGTGTGGTCTCTGCTTCATTGATCCAAATTAAACTAGGAACAGTCCAGACCATCGCGCTGATCCTGATGTAGAGATTCCAGCGGTGTGGTCTCTGCTTCATTGATCCAAAACAAACTCGGAATAGTCCAGACAAATAGGCTGATCCTGATGTAGCGATATCAACACAACTTTGAACACTTCATGAAAACTGGCGAATTGATCTTGTCTAAGCGATCCTAACACAACAGGGATCACCCCAGACTACCGGTTAGGTCCCTTGTTCCACTGATCCGAATCGAACCCCGAACACTCCAGACTAGCAGACTTATCCTGCTTTAGCAACCCCTTCGCGTTGACGATTTTTTCTTTTTATTAGAAGGTATTTACTCCCATTATCTTAACTAGTATGGGCGGGTTACACAACTTTGCTATCCAATACCACATTTAAAACACGCGAGTTCAAGTAGTAAAGTTCACGAAAGATACGTTTGTCTTATTGGTTACAGGAATATGAATATTCAATATCGTCGTATAAGGACAACACATGCCACTTATTCTATCTAATATATGAGAATTATGGCAACAGTTTGAAAATTAATTTCCATTCAGCGAACCCTGTAACCCAAAATTAATACCTTTCTATGTTAATTTCCATTCAGCGAACCCTGTAACCCAAAATTAATACCTTTCTATGTTAATTTCCATTCAGCGAACCCTGTAACCCAAAATTAATACCTTTCTATGAGTTTTATTTCTTTCAAAATAGAAGACCCTGTGCATCACAAAAACCTACTTAGTCGTGAATAAACGTTTGAAAACATTTCTCAGTGTTATAATGTATAATCATAGTATGGCATAGTAATGATTGTTTCGCAAAGTAACAATGCATGATTATACTATAGTATCAGATTATCATCCTTAATTGTCCTGTGGTTACGCTAAATTTCGCTCTCCTGCGAAATTATTGTATGGTGAAGTTAAAACGTAGCTTTATTGTCAGATGTCGGAATTATTGTCTGGTGAAGTTAAAACGCAGCATTATTGTGTAATGTCGGAATTATTGTATGGTTAAGATACAACGTATCATTATTGTGAGATGTCGAAATTATTGTATGGTTAAGATACAACGTATCATTATTGTGAGATGTCGAAATTATTGTATGGTTAAGATACAACGTATCATTATTGTGTAATATAAATTCAAGGTCCTGTTTGTCCCTATAACGTGCTTGTGTTATACGGAGAGGAAGGAGGAAGTTTAGCCAGTTTTTATAAACACTACTGAAACACAAATGTCAAGGGACTGTTGATAATTAATTAACAATAGTTTGAGCCATACTTTTTACATTTCTGCGGCTCAAAAAGGTTATATTCTGCTTGTAAATTTTGGGAGCAAGTCTTGCGCTCAATTCTTTTAGTAACGTCTTTGAAGTAGTACCGGATCAAAAATGTCAAGGAACAGTTGATCATTATTATTGTTATTCAAGCAATAACATGGATTAACACCAATATGCTGAACCATATTTGTTATATTTATGGGGCCCAAAAGACCTTATTTTCATTCACATGAAATACGTTTTAAACATACATATACGAGATATGCTATCCTAATACAGCTCTTGTTACATCTTGAAATCAACATACAACATTGAAAGTTTCAAAACAGCCCTTGTGTAGTCATCCGACCACTGTGATGAGTGCAATGTCGTATTATAGTCAGAGAGTAAACCGAATACGCATTATGGAAAAGAAATGAAATCAAGTTTAAACTGAAAATAAATACAGCTAAAATTCAATAATTTCCAAGGAGAATTAAGAAACACGATGATATCAGCGGAAAAGTAGAATTTGAATTGTGTCGTGAAGGTACTAACAGCATATGGACACGAGGACTTGTTACGTGTACTTTAATCCATCCTGAGGTGTTTAAAGTATTTTTTAAAAACTTTCCCTTATTAAATTGATTTTTTAAAGATTTCATATTCATTAAATTCCAATGTTGCCTGTTCCCCACCCCTTCTCAAAAGTAACAATATACCATGCCCCTGTATAATAACAAGGACATATCTCGCTTACGTAAAAATCGTTGTACCATATCTCAGGTGTATCTCGCAAGTTGGTTTTAATAATTATACCATAAGCACTACAGGTAACGCGAATCATCGTATGTCATAAACAGTTCATGTCTGTTTGTTTATGGTCGACATAAAGCTCACAAGATCCTCGGCTTACAACTACTGGCATACACACCTGGCTTACGATTATACATACCAGAAAAATAGGTCGCGTATATCATTGGATATGGTCTGGTTGTGTTACTATTTAGGGGACTCGAACAAGTATTTGGCGACGTATGTGCCAAATAGTGGTAGTATATAACACTACAGAATAAAATGGGATAATTAAACGACATGCAGATGTATTGTCTATTACGTGAAATTCATTTCCTAAGACCAAGTCGTAGATCAGGTTATACTAGACCTGCTCTTTGAGAGTATACATTATAACGTTCATAGTTTTGTTACTTAAAGTGTCCGTTAGCACGCCATAATCAGCATAATCATAGATTTACGTTAAAGAAATAACAAATAAGAAATTTAAGAACAATCTTATAAGTAAATACATCGTTTTCTTTAAAAGTTTACTTACAAACAACATCGATGACGTCATGTTCCTCGTGAGGCGCGTGATGGTACAGCGTCTTGCAGAAGGACACGCCTTGTGAAACTTCACAAGAGAGTGTGTACCATAGGCCGTAGACAGTCCGGCGGTCATCCCTTTGGATGGTCACCCACCATGGAGTACATAAGGCGAAGACCTGCATGAGAGACGTAAATCCTCCCATCAAAGCGAACACTTTCGTCTTCATCACATACCCTCATCAACCTGCCGTCAAAATGTGTCGTCTGCCCCACTACCAGCACATGGCAAACTCATGTCATGGCTCTGCTGACTTTTAGTGCGACCGTCCCGGCGTCATATTCTACAATACTATGAATCTAGATACAAATAAAATGACAACCGTCTGCTGGCGTACTTTGACAGTGTTGTGGTAAAAATACAGTAGTAGAATGTCTAGCTCTTCCAGATCTTAGAAGATATAAATACACACTGCGTCACACAACGGCATGCTGTGTTTTGAAGACATTTTCCATTGACTGTAAGATACAGTTAGTGACTCACGTTCGCTTGGTCATACACACGCATGATACATCAATGAGACAGAACACTTACAGTATCAACAATAGCTCTTAAAACCACAACGACAAAATGGGGTCATGAACCCTTTCGGGTCTACTTGTGACTTCCGGACATACACAGGTAAATACACGACAGGATGTTTACACCTCTAAACACGTGTTTTTATCAGGTCACATGTGTGTATACTGTAAGTCCCGATTGCGTTATATGATAAAACCAATCGGCAAAGCGTGAGCGATATATAGAAGGCCACCACTCCTACAAAATGGTTTGTAAAAGGGAAGCGACAAACCGGATCTTCACATTAGGAAGGTCTTAATCTTTACATTTCGTCATGTTATGGGGTTTTACCTTTATATCAGATATGTGGGTCGGTAAACAAATATACAACATGACGGAAATGACGTAATGGGTATGCTAACTAACATTCATTTATTCATTAACATTGTTTACGCTTTGTTGAAAGAAAAAAAAACAAATTATTTTAAAGTACAAATGACTTTGTTGGATATGTTAGACAATAAAGTACCCAGCAATATACTGTGTTACTTTTACATATTTTTATGCTCCTATTATCAGAATTATTTGGTAAAGTTATAGAAAAGAGTGCAATTAAGCTCTGATCGGCCTTGTTACAATATTATGGTTACTATAAATGACATTTGTTTACAGGTGAAACACGCTCAGACATGACAAGGAAATGTATGATAGGCAATCGTCATGAATGTTATAATATTTGCAGACCGTTTAATATTTATTCATGATTGTATCCATCTCCCATTTGCTGGTTGTTGGAAACTTGTTTCATTCCGACAGCTAACACTCCAGTAGATGTAGGCATGTCTGAGTTATCCCCCTTGGAGTTTGATTATCTACAAATGTAGTATATTGGGCCTTTGTGAGTCTAACCTCAGTTTGTTACGTATAACGTACAAACACGGTTTTTCGGTAAATCATATATAAACATGCACGTGTTTGTGTATCAAGCGTTTGGTCTTGCGAGTCCAGCCTCGGCTGTAAAATATATTTTGATAAAATGAAGGCAAATTTCGAACCATTGAAAATTATTTCCCAATGATACAACACAATACATGTTAAGATATTAGTCGAGCTGTAGTTAATGACACTGGAATACAATGGTAGTCAGCGACATGGTGGGAAAACGATTTTTTATTGATTTTTTTTATTATTATTGCATATATATCAGTAGCATCACTTTATGAACAATGCCAGTTGGTTTTCGCTGAATAATGCACATAAAGAGGTTAATTAACCATTATAAAAAAATTCTTGATTCTTGATTTGTTGATCAACAATCTGGATATGTAAATTTTTGCGTCATATGTGCACACCGTCGCCTGTAAACAAAAATGGCTATCCGTCTGAAACGGTCCAGACAATGTTGGTGATTAATGTCACTTTATTCCTAATTCTAAATTTACTTAAATTTATAAAAAAAAAAAACAACAATAACCATGACTTTACCAAAATCCGATGCTGAAAAACGGAATGTTACTGATAGTGTCATTAATGTCGCCGACATTTCTGCCCGCCATTACGTGTTCGTGTTTACAAAATGAATTCCCTCGTTTTCAAAACCATTACGTAATGTTAACAGCGCTAAATTTGAGAGAGGTTTTCCGAACCAAAGAGGTGGTCAAGCTGGACGATGGAAATCGGCTATGAATATCGGGATGGTGTAGAAACGTTAATGAAAAAACCCCCAAAAAACAAATCTAATGGTTTTATCGTGATGTCCCTTAAAAGCATTCAACTTAGAAGATATGAAATATTAGTACTCTAGCCATTTGTTCAGTTTGAAAGCCTAAAAAAATCTTTTCACACGTAATCCATGACTAATGTTGTAAACGAACCGTGCCACTTTTGGTATTGCAAACCAAGATATCAATACATGTATTATGAGTCCAGGCCATTCATTGATATTCATTTGATAGCCACCATGTTATTCGCAAAAGACAAGATATATCTGAAGTTATCTTTTTTATATTTTTGTTTCTTCATTTTTGAAATTTTTACAGCACATACGCATTATTTACATTCCATTCATACATACGTTTAATTCCTATTTTTTCATTCGTTCAAAGTATTGTAAGCATTGTTAAGTTTAAATACCAAGTAGTAAAGTGCATGTACTTTTAATCCTGTATATGTAAGTGAAGCAAAGCAGAAACAAAATCTCAAGATTTGAAAAACAGTGCTTTGTATTGTCTAAGAGAGAAGAGATAAAACGTTATAGAGAAGAAAAGACACAAAAGGAGAGAAGGGACATAAGGAATACCAAAATCAGTACATATATACACGGTTACATAGTAGGTGATATATAATCAATGTACCAAATTTATAGTCAATAGTTAGTCATAATTAGAAGAAATTCAATTATAGATAGATTGCACATTTTGTTTCAAAAGTCTTATGTTCTAATGAATTATCAATGCGTGGTACATATTTTTCATTTTCTTAACGTGAATACTGTGTGTAAATATTTATAGTCGAACAAAATGTAAACACAAAGGTTTGTATTTGATTATAACATAATTTTTCTTCAAAAAATATTTGTAATTTAAAGTGATATACAAGTAAAACAACTTTTTATAGAATGTATAGAGTTTAACCGAGATTGTATAACTTCTTTAAGTATAATCATTTACTGTACACAAGACACACCTTGAAATAAACACTCTACAGGTTATATAATTTCTTTTCACAATATATATCCTACGTAACAACATTTCATAAATTAGTTTAGTTTAGTTTATTACCAGTGCAGGATCGTTACGATCCTCTATACCGGTCTCAGTGATACAATGATAATTTCAAATAAATATCTCTAATCTTCTTAAGACATTCATCCAAGTAAACATGTGCACATATTAGTTCATGTTTCTCATCTAGACCCTGGATAGATTAACAATTCAGTATTGGAACCAATCCAACGTTCGTAAAGTACATAAGTACAATGCAGAAGGGTAGCCTTTTGTCTTTATCATCTTTGGAACTGTGGATAGGTTTAAAGCACATTGGTGTGCACGGCCGCGCAAAACGGCAATTATACCATTTTTCAATTTGTGACAAGCTAATTTCGTTCTTTCTATATAATTCTGTTTATTGTTCAAAGAATGCCTTTATGAATGATTTCTCTAACAACTGGTAACATATTATTATAGAGACAGCTTATGTTAATGGTTCTTTTTACATGAAAATACGACAACATTACTTCTTGAAGCAGAATACAAGAATCTCCAACTTTGGCTGTAGGATTGACATTTTCCTGAACCCCGTAACACAGGTGTTTACTAAACAGATATCAGCTGCTTGAGTCGGACTGTTCACAAAAGTTATTAATCATCACAGCGACCCAATCACACCCTGTAAGATACCCTTCTCCCTTGTCGTGGAGGTTAAGCCATTAAAGATTACAGAACTATGTACATCTGCATACTTATATCGCGGAATGTAAAAAGCCCAGGAGTGGAAAGTGCGCTATGTTTTGATTACATCTTTCAAAATAGTAAATAAATACCTTATGTTGTGTTCTTGATATATTCATAATTGATGATAGATGTTCATATACAATACATAATAACATTAATATATTGCTGAATCAGTAGGAACATGCTAACATGAAAACATCTATTGTCACTTCATACTTCATTATCTTATCTATACTGCATCGAGAAGGTAGTTTTCAAAATCATTGTCACTAAAACTAAGCACGTCCATTTCGCGGCAGCAGTCATGTATAAACCTTGACAGCTCCCTTTTCCATTTCTGTTTATCACGTGTTTTATCTCGTTTACATATACCATGTATAATTTTCGGGACAGAACACAAAACAAGTGTAGTGACAGCCTGTGTAAGTGTTGATAACTCCTGAAACTTTTCAAAACTGATAAGAAGTTCAACAGATAGATACAGAATGACGGATATGAACATTATTTTCATAATTGTTTTGAAAAGCTGTACTCTTAATGGCTTGTATTTGTTTACTGCTTTCATGAATAGTTGATAAGGAATGCAACCTACATCATCCACTATCTTATACACCTGAGAAGTGTCGTTCCTTTCTGTATGTAGCTTGCAAAGTTCCAAAATTTCTCTGAACATTTTTGTATAAACAATTTTGAGTTTTTGAATGCTTCCCCCTACATACATTAGAACGGTTATACCCAGGACTAAATAACCAGATGACAGAGTTGTATACGCGAATAGACCTGTGTACGTAAAAATGGCTATCCTGGATAAAAATAAGAAACTGCTTACAAATATTATATTTAACATGTAGACTACAAAGGTCAGCGCAGTTACCATAAACGGAATAAGTAGATACAGAAAACACTTATAACGTGCATGTTGTGGTTGAACCTTATTCCAGGCGAAAATATAATACCCTCGAACAATTACAAACATCATGAAAAAAATAGGCATACCATAGAAAATAATACAGAGTATGATTTCCAGTGCGCACACAACAATATAACATGGCAATAACACGGTAAATATAGCACACAACACACAGTTACCATTCTCAATAAAGTACGATATTATAGTCTTGAGACGTAAAAGTTGTGTCTTGAACACGTAAACGCTGAAACTAGGATTCAAAAGCATAAAAAAATTAGCGAACATGGTGCTAGAAATTTGATAATAACCATTAGATTGTATTTCAATGTTAATAGATGTTAATCGTTGTTTTTCTTCTGTACTGATGAAAAGAGGAGAAAATGATGTGACTGTCAATTTGTTTTGAGGTAAACCACGAACTAGAATTTTTGCCAGATCGTTTGGGACACACATGAACAGTACAGCACAAATGATGTACAATGTAGTAGCAATGAATGGCCCACCTAAGTCTGGCATGAAGTTTTTCCTAGCAAGTTCATGTCCAGCCAACACTGACAGGAAGTTCATAGGTGAGCCCTGTTCA